TATATTTACTCTTAACTAAATAAAATTATCATGTCTCTGTAAAAATTAGTCACAAAAAAAAAAAAAATCCCTTTACTTAGGTCTTAAATTTTTTTTAATATATATTTAAATGGTTCCTATCATTCAAATTAACTTCAAATATAAAATTTTGTAGAAAATAAAAATTGATGTACAATGTTTAACATTTTTCAAAAGGTTAGAGGGGGCGGCTGCCCCCCCTTGTCCTACACTAGCTCCGTCCCTGATCATAACCCTCTTTTGCTTTTTCTTTGTTCCCAGTAAGAGGAGTTGAAGCTATAGCATTTGTTAGCATCAAGCAAGACAACACGTGGGGTGTCCTCAGCAGGAAGAGTTGAAGTTACTCTAGAGGATGAATAACAATCTAAATTACAATGGACGATTAAAAAGAAATATCTAAATTACACTAACTTCTCCTTTAAATTTATATAATAAAACAATCTGCATTTTTTATTTTTTGAACAGCAATCATATATTACATTAAAGTGAGTACAAGAGGTAGTCATATCCTTTTTACACTAGGCAATAATCATACAGCAAAATATATCCCCTTCAGTCCCTATTTTTTTTTTTTTTTCGTCCAGCATTGTGACTTTTAAGGCATTCTGCCGGCTTAACAAGCCAATCTGAAAGGCTGAAGGAATACCTGTCCAATCTTGCAGTAACCCATTGAAAGGATCTCAATTGGATGGTTTCCAGCAACTTTCCCAGGTCTATAATAAAAACAATCTGCATTGAATAAGATGATCGATCATTTTCGCACCCCCCTCCCCCCCTCCCAAAATATATATATATATATTTGAAATACATCTATTAAATACAAATTCAAGTGTCCAAACAAATCTTTAATGTTTTTGTAATTCATGTATCTTCTCCCATTTTCTTAGCCTATATATAGGCTCTTGTAACCTCCTGTTACAAAAATAGAAAGATTATTACACTGCCTCACATTCTCTCTCCATCCTTAAGTCTTATTGTAACTCTTAATAAACTTCACCAACTAAAAATAGCTTCTGATCAGAACTAATCATATTGATCTGTAGAATTTTAACCCCATTTTCAGATAAAAATTTTTGGTCCCATTCCTAAGGTAAAGATGCATCTATCACATAATGAATTAAGAATTGAGTTTTATACTCTTAATGAAATTTGTAACTCATAGAGTGGGGTGTCTTAGTTAGGGGAGCACCCTTGACAAATTTCACCTATACGGGTGTCGAAGTGAGATCGCTTCTATGAAAATTGGATGGACAATTTTCTAAATCACCCATGAATACCGGGATCATGCGCAAGGCCATAATTCACCAACTATGTGAAAAACTCAACATTCGGATCATTATGTGTGTGATACAATTCTTGTATCTTCCAATGAAGTCACAGTTTAAGACTTAGTTCATTATTGACTTTGGATTAAGAATTGTTGACTAAGTAAAAGTTCAAGGCTTAACTACCTTTACTATGCATAATAATCCATCTTTGTCCGAAAGAAAGGTTTATTTTTTATTAAAATAGTGAGGGAATTGTTTGAACTTAAATATTTTAATAAAAAATAAAACAATATATTTTATAAATTTAATTTATTGTCCCATTAAGGATTTGGTCAAATTAGTTGTTGTAGGTTAATTGTCCTACTTAAGGGCACATTATTTCATAATAATTGCTCAATTTATTCCTATAATTAACCTACAAATGGGAGTTACATGACCATAAGTCCTATAAATAGGACATGTCGTTTTGCTTAAAAAAGGTGTTCCTCCACATTCTTCTATTGTTTTTACCTTGCTTTATCTTCTAAATATTCTTGGGTTAAAAAGGGTGTTTTGAGTTAGGTGACTTTATGAATAGTGTAGATTCATAGGGTATAATTATAAAACTGTAACATCCTAGGGGCGACATGCTATGTATATCTCTGTTGCACAAATCATTCTGCACTCCCTAGAGGCGTGAATCACCTTAAAGTAAGTAAATTATTCAAGTCTATTCCGATGATATTTTCTTATTGATATTTCTTGATAAGTTCACTAATTATTATTTTATTTGATTTTGTGACTGAGGCACAATAATAACATGATGTGGAGATGGAGAAGAATGTTTGAGGAATAACAATCTTTCATCTTTGAAGCTATAGAACTCCTACTGTCAAGTAAATTGCAAAAATGATCAATTTGACCAAATAGTTTTCCAACACCTTTTTTCCTAGCATTGTTTCACAAGGAAGTTTCACCAGCCTTTCTCTTTTTGTTTTTATTATCATTGTTGTGTTGAAGATGACTAGAAGGTTTGCACTTGCACTTGAATTCCCACTCACATCATCTAAAGTCTCAAGTCCATTCAAGTCACTTATTGGTGGAAGAGTTCCTAAATAAGGTGTATAAGCAAAATCAAGTTCAAGAATAGCTCCACTAAACATCTCTTGATACGTTTCTTCCAACTCAGGTTCTATTCCACGAAGTCTAAATATCTTGATTTTAGAGTTTTCCTACACAATTGTGACAATTTATCAATAAGTAAAGAGCTATTAAGTTAAAATAGTTAATTATAATACATTATGTTTGAACTAACCTTTTCTCTCGCATCCCACCATTCTTTAGGGGCAGTAGTAGTTTTCCTCACAAAATCATACCCAAGACTAGTAGCCTCCATCTTAAGAAACTTCCAATTTTTATAACCATCCTTCAGATTATCCCACTTGTTTTTAAGCTGTTTGTATCTATATCTAACTCATGTTTCCTTAAAAAGGTCATCTCCCAAAGTTATCCAACCTTGTTTTGTGAAGTGAGTTCCAAGACAATTTCCTAAGCTGTTATATATGTTTCATACATATATCAATAAACTTGTCTACAACATGCCAAGGCCAACTTGCCTTTCCATGAGATTCTATTTCATTTGTATCAACCATCTCTAGTAATGCATAAAAGGACAAAAAAAATATAAATGGATAAACATCACTTTGAAATAAATAAATATCACTTTGAAACAAAGGCTATAGAAGAACAAAATATCACCAAGTGCACCATACAAATTAATTTAAAAGTTCAAAGCTAATCTACAATAGTTCCTTTAAAAACTAAAAGAAAGACAAGAAATTAATTCATGTAATCCATATTCATAAAATAATCCTGCATGTTTGCAATCCCTGGGATTTGACATAGTAATGTCTCATAATAATCTTGTATTAAATTGAATTTTATTGCTTGGGACTCTAAAAAATTTATATTGTACTTAATTTATATTGTCAGGTGAATAAATTATCCTAACCATCATTGTTAAAGGTGCAAAAAATAATCAACCAACATATTCAGAATATATTTTAATATCATCATTAACATGAAGGAATTAATTTTCAAAGCAATATAATCAAATAAAATTTAAAGGTTCAACAAAGCAAAATCATTTTTCAATAATATCAATTAACAAAAATTATAATTATAATTAACAAAAGAAAAATGTCAATTCTAATTTGACGAATCAAAAGATGAAAATTTAGGAAAAAAATATTATAATTAAACATTACAATGATAAAAAAATAATTTTCAATTTAAATAAATCAATAAAAAAATTATTTTTGATACTAATGACATTCATGCTTCTCACAAAGAGAAAAGAAATCAATTGTTCTTAATGTGAAAGAAATAGAGGTAAAACAGTACTACTTAAAGAAAATATGGTTAAGCCAATTACCATTAGGTTTATGTTTTAGGTTGGGTGGGTTTCCCATGAGAGAAGAATGAAAGTTTGTAATTTTGTAATTAATGGGTAACTTTGTAATGGCATTAAATAATAGGTTTTGTTCGTAAAAGCCACAACTAAAAAACTCCAAAATGGGGCTTCTGACTATATATATGAAATTACTAT